AGCAATGCTAACTGGGCTGTGCTCAAAAAACCCTAAAGAAAACACTAAAGACCAGGTGAGTTGTCAGCTAAACAAAAAGATACTTATCTACAAACTAGTCACCTTTGGGAAGAAAATAGGAAAAAGGTAGAATCCAAGAGAAGAGAAGGGGTGGGGGGAGGAAGGACTAGGAGGGATTCATGTTTATTTCTCTGTGGGAACTTTGAGAAGGAACCTTTTTGTTTCCAAAGCCAAAGCAATCTTTTCCATGCAAGAGAGGCAACAAAGCCAAGTTCTGCGTCAGCTTCGTAGAATTCGTTGTGCTGCAGGAAGGCCCTTTTCCCTTCTACTGAAGAAAAAGAGCCAGTATCAGGACCTATAATAACGGCAGCCGATAATTACTGAACACCAACCAAGGGCTGGGTACTGTGCTGTGATTTACACATAATCTCAAATTGAGTTCTCACAACTTTCTAAGCAAGAGGTATTAATACACCCATTTTACAGGTGAGAAAGCTGAAGAGATGTTAGCTTGTCCAAGGTCATGTGGCTGACAAGTTAGAGAGCAGGGATTCGTGTTCAGATACGTCTCTCTCCTGAGCCACGCTCACCCTAGAAAACCTAGAGGCAAGGCAGAAGTCTGAGGCTACATCTTCTTGGGGTTCCTCAACAATTTTAGGGACTTGATAAAAAAAAAAAAAAACCAGCAGCACAACCCACTAAAGGCATCAAGACCAACCCAGGTCATGGAGGCAGGTAAACTCTGTGCCCGACAGGAGATAGCTCATCTTCAGTCAACTCTCAGAATTGCACAGAATCTGATTGATGGGGACGCCTGGGTGGCTCAGCGGTTGGGCGCCTGCCTTCGGCCCAGGGTGTAATGTAATCCTGGAGTCCCGGGATCAAGTCCTACATCGGGCTCTCAGCATGGATCCTGCTTCTCCCTCTGCCTGTGTCTCTGCCTCTCTCTCTGTCTCTTCATGAATAAATAAATAAAATCTTAAAAAAAAAAAAAAGAATCTGATTGGTGGACCAGCACTCTCCAAATCCCAGCCTCTCCTGATGCTCCCATTCCCCAGACCCCTTTGTTAACCCCTGCCTCCTCTCAGCTTTAAACCCAACCCCCTATTTGTCCCCAGGCAAGATGGAGGAAGGGAGCAGGGCAAATTACTGCTTTTCCTGCCTCATACTTCCAATGACATCATCCCAAGAGGGGGGAAAAAAGCCATGATGTCACCATGGGACATAATTAGGGGACTCAGATGACACTTAGACTCCGGAAAAGTCCCTGACCTTTCTGAAAACCAATAGCCAGAATGCCTGGAGACAGGCGAGGCCAAGCTCACTGGAAAGGAGCCCAGGACTCTTCATACCATGACTGCTGCTACTCGCTCTTCTGTTCCACTCATTTTGGAATTCAGGGCATGGGCTAACCGTGCCTTTGGCCAAAAACTCTTCACGCAGGCACTTTTGTGAGCTCAAACCTTCAGGTGAAGATGTTTCTTCCAGTCAAAGTTTATGTTTTTCTGTCCTTGAAACACATAAACTCATCCCTCGGGACCTGTGGGCGCCAAGAGCATTCTGTTCTGACAGGCTGCCCACTCAGAAAAGGGCAAATACAAGGAGGGGAAACAACTTGCTCTGGCCCCAAGGAGAGTCAGAAAAAGGTGGAGGGAGGGACTAGGCAGTGGAGGAAGCTGGACTGAACAACTTGATGGATCTTTCACAGGTGACATTCTACCACTCCACACATTACTCTCTATGTGCTGCACACCTAACACAGTCTCTGCTGGGAGCACTTAATTGATGCCTCTTGTTTCCAGAGCAACCTCACCTAGGGCTGAAGGGTGGCCAGCAAGGGAAGGGCTAAGCCTATGTCTTTGAGAACCTATGTCTCTAAAGTGGGTGAAGCAGCCCATTAGTGCATGAACTCAGCCCTAAAGCTAGGTAGAGGGCAGCCCCAGTGGCACAGCGGTTTAGCGCTGCCTGCAGCCCGGGGTGTGATCCTGGGGACCCTGGATCGAGTCCCACATCGGGCTCCCTGCATGGAGCCTGCTTCTCCCTCTGCCTGTGCCTCTGCCCCCCTCTCTCTCTGTGTCTCTATGAATAAATAAATAAAATCTTTAAAAATAAAAAATAAAGCTAGGTAGAACCAGTGGCAGAGGTAGTGAAACAGGGCATCCAGTGGGGGAAATTGTGTGAGTTAAGACCCCAGGGCTTCCACTGAAAATAACCCTATATATCCTAGCAATCAGCACAACCAATCTCAACTAGTCTCTGTCTCTTTCTTCCCTCACAAGAAGTCCATTGGATGACATTCATTTGTTTAGAATGTATCGAAGTCGAAATTTTGGACTTTGAAAGGACAACAGTCACCACTGTTCTTTTCTTGTTTTCCTCTTCCTCTCTTTTCTTCCTTTCTTTTTTCCCCCCTCATGATACAATGAAGCACAGGTAGGGAGAGAACCAAGATTTCAGAAAACGGAGCTGATAGAAGGTAGTTAAGAGAGAAGACTCTCCAGGGAGACGTAAGACTAGGCTTCAGCAGCATCACCCACAAAGGGAAAGCAGATTCCTGCAGTGTGTGGGCTTCTCCGGGGAAGCTGTAAGAGTCTGGGGCTGAGGGAGGTGTCCTCTGGCCAAGGTCTTTCAGAAACAAAGATTCTGTCTTCAGCACAGGAAACAGCCTGGAAAGAGCAGAGCCGACTTGGCCAGCCCGGAGAAGAAGCCTTGTCCTTGTGGTTCCCGGTGGAGTGCCAGGGTCAACAGGGTTTGGGGGCTGTAGGGAGTGAAGCCTGTGAGCCCTGTGGCACTCCAGGCAAGTACAGAAATGTGGGAATGTTTTATGTGCCCACTTCTCCCTGAACTCTGGATGGCCCTGCCCTATTAAGGCTAAGCCCCAATTCCCTAGAGGCAGGTGGGCTCTGAAGTCCAAAGGTACGGTCCCAGCCCAGGAAAGGGAGGTCAGAGCTGCATGGAGGCTCTGAGGCTGCAAGGGCTTCAGCTGGCATGTCTAGTTAAAGGGATGTGTCTGTGAGGCACTAGCTGAACATCTTAGAATCTAGTCATTTGGAGATAAAGGAAGAAGGAAGACAGAATTAAACCAATACATAAGGGCACCTGGGTGGCTCAGGGGTTGAGCATCTATCTTTGACTCAGGTTGTGATCCCGGGTCCGGGTCCAGTCCGCATCCTATGTCTCTGCCTCTCTATGTCTCTCATGAATAAATAAATAAAATCTTTATTTTTTAAAATTTTATTTATTTATTTATTTATTTATTTATTTATTTATTTATTTATGATAGTCACAGAGAGAGAGAGAGAGAGACAGACAGACAGACAGACAGAGACATAGGCAGAGGGAGAAGCAGGCTCCATGCACCGGGAGCCCAACGTGGGATTCGATCCCGGGTCTCCAGGATCGTGCCCTGGGCCAAAGGCAGGCGCTAAACCGCTGCGCCACCCAGGGATCCCCAAATAAAATCTTTTAAAAAAAGAGATCAATACGTAATCACAAAGATGGTGGTGAAAAGAACCCAGAATTGAGGTGGCGCACTGAATGGGGGAGGCACAAGCAGGGGGCTGCCAAGAGCTTTTAGGGGACTTAAAAAAGGCTTCACGGATGGGGCACCTGGCTGGCTCAGAGGAGCAGGTGGCTCTTGATATTGGGGTTCTGAGTTCCAGTTCTGGAGCTGGGCGTGGAGCTCACGTGAAGGGGGAAAAATGGTGCCATGGATTCCCAAAGACTCTGGACCCTCTCACCATCCTTCAACACCCCAGCGTCTCTCTCAGCCACACCCCCCTAAGAGTTATCAGGCTCTGGATGGATTCGCTTCCAATACAGAGGGGCTGTAGGGTTTCAAGGGAAGGCTGTCAAGGCAACCCCAGTGGCTCTTGATCTACCTAGACATTTGAAGCTGGCACTTTACCACCTAAGCTCTATAGAAAGAAGTCTTCTTATTTTCGTCCTTTCCCCGTCTGGAAACAAAAGTAGGTTGTGTTTCTCCTGCCCCCATTCCCTGGAGATCCCCGAACGGAGAGCTAAAAGGGCTTCTTGGATTACCTCATCGAATTCTCAGCCCAGGATACCAGTGCCTGAGCCTCTGGTCCTGGCCACTGCCCCTCGAGGCAGCTGAAACCAAAAGCAGTTCCTGGGGCCGGGGAGGGGGGGCCTGCCCGGTGGTTCCGAGAGAGCAGCCACCAGAGTGCTGCAGGGCAGGCGCTGGGCCCCGGGGCACAGGAAGTGGGGGAGGGGGTGGGTGGGTGCCATGGGCCACTCCTGGGCCCCGTCGCCGCCAGCTAGGGCGGTGGTGGGAGGGCCCCGGCGCCGCGGCAGACCCGCGCCGGCCAGAGAGGGGCAGGGCCTGCAGGAGGCTCCGCACGGCCGCGGCCACAGCTTGGTGCTGGGGTCGGAGCGAGCTCGCCGCGGGCTCGGTTCCCGCTAAGGAGCTTCCGGGCGGTGCCAGCGCAACTGGACAGAGCAGGGGCCGGGACGTGGAGCGGCAGCGGCAGGGGCCCGCGGGGGCAGGAGGGAAACCGGCTTGTTCCGTCTCATGCATGAAAATCCAGAGCGATCCTGTGCGGTCTTCGCACCTCGCTCCGCTCCTTTTCTCACCCTCACCTCGGCCCGCGGAGGCGGCGGCGGCGGCGACCCTGAGGGGCTGCAGACGCGAGCGCACCGGCGACCACCGCCCCGCCTGCCGCCCGCCTGCCGCCCCTCCCGCGACGCGCCGTCCGCCCTCCGGACCCGAGTCCCTCCCGCTCTCCAGCCGGGGCCGGCGACGCGCACACCCGGCCGGACGGCGAGGAGGGCCGAGGTGCAAATCCCCGGACGCAAAGAAACGCCAGCGGCCCCGAGGGAGCGGCCGCTGCGGGGCCGGCGCGGGGCCGGGGCGCGAGGCAGAGGCGAGCGCAGGGCTGGGGGCGGCCTGGCCTCGCTCGGGGCTCGGGGCTCGGGGCTCGGGGCTCGGGGCCGGGGCGGGGGCGGGGCGGGGGCGGGGCCGGGGCGCCGGCGGGACTCACCCCAGAGCAGAGTGAGCGGCTGGGCGGCGGGGATCAGCGCCAGGGAGTACAGGGCCGCCAAGTGGAGCAGGCTCATCAGGGCCACGTTCCTCCAGACGACGCCGCGCCGCGGGCCGCCGCCGTGCCCCGGGCCCTCGCCCCTCGCCCCGATCTCCTCCTTGGCGCCGCGGAAGGGGACCTGCCCCCGGTCGGCGGCCGGGCCCGGCATGGCTGGGAGAGGTGGGCGGCGGCGGCGGCGGCGGCGGCGGCCACAGCGGGCGGGTCCGGGCCGGCGGGGCCCTCCGGGGGCGGCGGGGCGGCGGGGCGCGGGGCGGCGGGGCGGGGGCCCCTCTGCGGCTCCCTCTCTCCTTTGGCCGCTCAGCGTGCACTGAGGAGGCAGGTCTCGGCGCGCGGCATCTGTTGCTGGCGAGCCTCCCGCGCGGCTGCGAGGAAGGGGAGGGAGCGCCGGGGCGGGAGGGGGCGCGGGGGGGGGTGTGGAGCGGGAGCGGGAGCCGGAGCGGGAGCCGGAGCGGGAGCGGCCCCGGGGGAGCGGGGAGGCGAGCCCTGCGGAGCCTCAGCCAATCAGGATCGCCTGCGGGACTCTTAAAGAGGAAGGCGCCCGCCCTCCTGGCCTCGGCTGCCCTGCCGGGGCTCCCCGGCCGGGCCCCGCACGGGTGCGCCCTCTGGGCGGGCGGGGGGATGGGGCTCCCCTGACCGGGAGCTCACAGAACTTTTGTCGTTTTTGTGTGCTTCTCCAGCTCCAAAAATACCTTTCCCTTTTGGAAGGTCCTTTTCTTTTCTTTTCTTTTCTTTCTTTTCTTTTCTTTTCTTTTCTTTTCTTTTTTCTTTTCTTTCTTTTCTTTTCTTTGGAAGGCAAAGTCCACTAGTATTGGAAAATTGAAAATGACCTGTCTGGAGTCGCAACACAAGCGAAGGCCGTAGCCGTATCCGAGATGAGAATGAGAAGTCCAAGTGTCTCTGCCGGTTCGTCTGGCTCCTTGGGCCGGTGGAGGGATGGAGGGATGGAGGCAGCTGCTCGACTTTTAGTTAGGCAGCTGCAGCCAGGTGCACAGTAGGTGCTCAGCTCGTGCCTATCAGAGGATGCATACATGATGCATCGGCCAACAGTGCCCTGCCTGCCCACCGCGCAGCCCCAGATCCGCGCAGCTCTGCTTCCGGCCTACTCTGGGCTAACCAACGCACTTCTGGACTATCTCCTTAGTTCTCAGTTGACGGAATATTGTAAATTCAGCACCATTGTGAATGGGGCTTTAGAAAAATCACCCAGAATGTTTCAAGGAAAATTAACCCGTGAAAAATTTGTGTGTGTGCACTCTTCTCTTCTCTTTGCAGATAATTTAGAGCTGTGAAGAGGGACCCCTAATTGCACAGAAGTGCTAGGAGGGGTGAGTTGGTCCTGTCCCAAGTAGGTATGGTTGCACCTAAGGCTGGTGCAGAAGAAAAAGGCCTTAGGACTGGAAGTCAGGGGCTCTGAGTTCTAGTTCTAAGTCAATGTGACCCAGCTTTGCGCTCCAGACACAAATTTCCTTATGGGGGGAACAGAACTAATTTTTACTCTTTTTCTCCCAACTTGCAAAAGTCTATGAATGTGAGTTTCAAGGAGCACCATTATGTTGACAAATAAAGCTGATGTTTGGATTACCCATTGTTAGCAATCCTTTCCAGGTTTCTGGGAAAGGGGGAAAAATTAAAACTGACTGCATAAAAGGGCCATACATGAGTATCTTACTGTTAGCAGACCTGAACCAGTCCAATCAGCTAGATTAAAATAATGTCTGATTTAATGTGGCTGTGGAATTGGGGCCACTGAGGCAGTGTTACAGTGGCACTTCAGATGGAGCTGAAATTATAGAATGAAAGGAAATTTGCCTGGTGACCAGCTGGATAAATATTGGTACTGAATAATGACTAGTGAGACAATGGAACGTGGAACTAAAGGATATCAATTTCATTAGCCTGCTCAACCTGGGCTTTATAATGAACCACTTTTTCTTCACACCAGCCCTCTCCTTCCCATTCCTACCAGACCCACATGCTGCCTGCAGGTCTTTAGTTCAGACTGTCCTTTCTCTCAGGGATGGGCTAGTTACTTGGCCAGAAATCTCTGGGTATTATAATGACTTTCCTCACACTCACTCTAACCATTCAGTCATTTATTTGGGATTTATTGGGCACCTGCTATATGCCAGGAGTAGTGAACACTGGGGATGCAAGGATGAATAAGCTTTGGTCCCTGCCCCTAAAGGAGCTCCTCACAAGGGAGGGAAGAGATTCAAACAAATGTAACTTTTTGGCTATGACTTTGGAAGGATAGGAAGGTATAGTTCATTATCAGAAAAAAAAAATATTATACATCTTGCATACATACCAAGAGTCCAAGGGAGACAGCAAAGCAGTTCTTTACTTGACCCCTGGGTACATTGTCTATTGGATAAGCTACTCTGTCTTGAATCTATCTTGAATGAATATCTTCCTCTCCTCCCTCCATTGAGTCAGACTGCATTGGCCAATCATTTCAGCAGGTTGGACTCAGGATGGAGGAGGGGATGTTTGTAGGTGTTGGGGGTGGGGGGAAGTGCTCTTTAGGTCTTTCAGACCCTGCCCACAATAGGATAATTGAAGGAAAATGATTTTTCTAGATCTAATCTCAAAGTGAAATCTCTACAGATACGAAATATACTTTTGCTGATAGTGACTGTCCCCTGTAGCATATTATGCCATCAGGGCTACTGTCTCTTCCCATCTAAGGTCTTTATAAAAGACCTTAGTATATTTTCTTAGCTTTGGTCTAGAACCTAGAAGTGAATGAGTGTTCCACTTACTCCTTAATGGGGGCAAGTGGGAGAGTAAACCTTATCCTGTCAAATAAATACTTACCAAAAATGTGGTTAAGAGCCCTAATAGTAATATATACAAGATAAAGTAGAGGAACAAAGGAAGGAATGGTTACAGAGGGAGGGAGGAGGAGGGGTAATATCCGAGTAGCTTTTTTTTAACTTGATTTTTTAAAGTTTTTTTTTTAATTTGTGGTAAAATATGCATAAATCTTAACCATTTTTAAACGTTCAGTTCAATAGTGTTAACTATTAAATAATAAAATAAATATATAAATCTCCACACCTTTTTCAACTTGCAAAACTGAAACTCTATGCACATTAAACAATAATACCCTATCTCTCCCTCTCCCTAGCCGGACAACTGTCATTGTACTTTCTATTTCCATGACTTTGACTACTCTAGATACCTGATATAAGTGGAATCATACAGTGTTTGTCTTTTTGTATGACTGCCTTATTTCACATAGCACAATGTCTTCAAGGTTCATCCATGTTGTATTATGTGTCAGAATTTCCTTCCTGGGATGCCTGGGTGGCTCAGTGGATGAGCGTCTGCCTTTGGCTCAGGGCGTGATCCTGGGATCCGGGATCGAGTCCCACATTGGGCTCCTTGTGGGGAGCCTGCTTCTCCCTCTGCCTGTGTCTCTGCCTCTCCCTGTGCCTCTCATAAATAAATAAAATCCTTTAAAAAAAAAAAAAAGAATTTCCTTCCTTTTCAAGGCCAAATAATATCCCATTGTATGTATTGCCACACTTTGCTTACCTATTAATCCTACAATGGACATTTGGGTCCCTTCCATCTTTTAGCTATTATGACTAATGCTACTATGAATATAGGAATACAACTATTTGAAACTCTGCTTTCAATGCTTTTGGGTCTATACCCAGAAGTAGTATTGATGGATTTATGGTAATTTTATTTTTAATTTTTTGGGGGAACTCCTTCCCATAGCAGGAGCAACACCATTTACATTCCCACAAACAGTGTGCAAGAGTTCCATTTTCTCCACATCCTCGCTAACACTTGTTATTTTTGTTGAGGTTTTTTGTTTTGTTTTTTGGATTTTTTTTTTTTTTTTTAGATTACAGCCATCGTAATTGATGTGAGGTGATATCATATTGTGGTTTTTATTTGCATTTCCGTAATAGTTAGTGATACTGAGCATCTTTTCATGGTCTTGTTGGCTGTTTGTATGTCATTGTTAGAGAAGCATCTATTTTAGTCCTTTTCCCATTTTTAAAAATTATTTTTAAAAAGATTTTATTTATTATTTATTTCAGAGAGAGAGAGCACACAAGCAGGGGGAGGGAGAGGGAGAAGCAGACCCCACCCCCACTGAGTGGGGAGCCAATCTGGGGCTCACTCCCAGAATCCGGAGATCATGACCTGAGCCAAAGGCAGACGCTCACCCTACTAAACCACCCAGGCGCCCCCCTTTTCCCATTTTTTTAATCGGGTTTGTTGTCATTGTTCAGTTATAAGAGTTCTTTATGTACTCTGGATATTAACCTCTTATATAGATAAATTGTTTGGAAATATTTTCTCCCATTCCAAAGGTTGCCTTTTTACTGTTTGTTGTTTGTGCCCTTTGATGCATAGAAGTTTTAAATTTTGATGTAGTCCAGGTTACTCATTTTTACTTTTGTTACCTGTGTTCTTGGTATTCTATCTAAGAAATCATTGTGAAATCCAGTACCATGAAAATTTTCTCATTTTCTTCAAAGACTTTTTTAGTTTTAATTCTTATGTTTAGATCTTTGATCCATTTGGAGTTCATCTTTAGATCTAGTGTAAGATGGGGGTTTAACTTCATTCTTTTGCCTGTAGATATTCAGTTTTCCAAACACCATTTGTTGAAGAGACTCTCCTTTCTCTATTGAATGGTTTTGGAGAGCATTTGACCATATACTTGAGGGTTTATTTCTGGATTTTATCTTCTATTCCATTGGTCTGTATGTCTGTCTTTATGCCAGTGTCACATTGTTTTGATTGCTGTAGCTTTGTGATACATTCTGAAATCAAGAAGTATAAGACCGCCAACTTTGTTCTTTTTTAAGATTATTTTGGCCATTTGGGATCCATTGAGATTCCATATGAATTTAGGATAGATTTTTCTATTTCTGCAAAAAATTTTCATTGGGATTTTGATAGAGATTGCCATACATCTGAAGATCACTTTGGTTAGTATTGACATCTTAACAATATTAAGTCTCCAGTCCATAAACATGAGATGTCTTCCTATGTGTCTTCTTTAATTTTTCTCAGCAACATTTGTAGTTTTCAGTGTACAAATATTTTGTCTCCTTGGTTAAATTTGTCAAGTGAGGACTTTCAAGGAAGCTATCTAATAGAAATATAATGCACATCACAAATTTAAGCCACGTGT